GTCACGGCCTCCGTTTCCGACGAGGACAGTGAGGATGAGAGAGGGGAAGGCCACACCGCTGGTCCCTGGCAGAGCCCGACTTTGAATCTGACCCCCTTAGGAAAAGTCCAGAACTGCGACCAAAAGGTGTTGTGTAGTCCTATCCATATATCTGAATTAATAAACAGAAATTAAAAAGATATCAAAGACTCGATTCTGCTACCAACAGCTGTATGACCTTGAGCAAGTCAATTTCCCTCTCTGTACGTTAGGTTCTTCAACTGCAAAATCAGATTCTTCAACGGACTGCCAAGCTGTAACTCATTAAATTCTTCCATTTATCGTTTTCACTTGGCTGTGTCTATGGGGCAATTTTTTTCCCAAGAGTTTTAATTGACTTTGAGAGAGAGGGGAAAGGAGAGGGAGAGAGAGAAACACTGATGTGCCACTGGCACAGGGATGGGCTGCCTCCTGCACACGCCCTGCTGGGGGTCAAACCATCAGCCTCTCTGTGCCGGGGGCCACCCTCTGGGAGACTCGCCGCCAGGGCCGTCATTTATTTGTTAATCTACTTTCTTTTCTCCGCCTCCTCACTCACCCAGCACCCACGTAGCCAGGCTTACGTTCAAGGCTGAAGTGCAGCTAAAACCCTTTCATGTTTCCTCCAAAAAGCTCATGAGAAGCTTCAGATGCTTCTGAGGCCGAAAGGTGGGGCAGTGAGACCCAATTGGGCCGGAAAACTGACCTTTCCCACATTTAGAACCCCAGGAGACGTGGGTGCCCAACATCCCACCGCTCACAACACTTACAACAGTATTTTCTCAAGGCGCCTCGTCGTCAGAAATCTCTCTTCTTCACAAGACATCATGGACAACCGTTTATACAAACGACGTAAAAGCCAGGAGTATCAGACCCACGGAAATGCTTTCAGCAAACAGGTAGGAGATTATACTTGGGAAGTTTGACAGCACGACTGACGGCCTGATTCTCAAGCAAAATGATCGTCTGCCTGCTCGGGGGAGGGGTGTGTTTTTGGCCAAATCTTCTAACCTGAGTCAGGCCCAGACCTGTAATTCATGACCCTCGGCCATCCACTCCCACCTGGCTACCAAGACATTCCAAGTTCTCAGACTCAGGGCCACAAAGAGAGATGTGAGTGTCTGCCTGCGGGGAGCAGAGGCTGGGCCTTGCGTCTTTATACTCCCCGTCAGTGGGCAACTGGACAGATTCCGCTCCGTCCTGGGACAGCACACCCATCAGCCACTGAGAAGGCTGTGAGCACATTCTCACATAAATTACCGGGGCAGGAAGCCCCGTCCCAGCGCCCAGGCTCCCTGAATAGAAGGGCAGCCTTGCCCTGAAAATGACAAATCGCGTCCACTTGAATGTCCAGGCGCCGTCCGCAGAGTTTATTCTGCGCAGGGATGGAGCCGTGTCCGTGGTTCAGGGCGCGAAGCCCACGGCAGAAAACCCCTCGGCTCTGAGGAAAGTAAAAGCACGTTTGGAATTTGAAAAGGAAAAAACAACAGCACAAACTAATTCTGTCCTCATATTTAGGCGTCAAGGGCCTCGGAGGGCCCGGGAGAGCACTCCCACCAGCCGGCTTCTGAATGAGAACGTAATCTCTTTACAATTTCTTCTCTTCCCTCTCCCAGCGGCTGGGACCCTTGTGTCAATGGCCGGGGTGAATGGTGTTGCTAATAAGCCTATTAATGAGCCTCCTCCACCGCGTGAATAGGTAACTAGGCCCCGATCGGCGGAGGCTCAGGGCCGAGGGCAGAAAAGCCAGCGAGAACCAAAGGGGACAGTTTGAACTGAGCCGGGGCCCCAGGTTTCAGCTCAAGGCCGCCAGACAAGGCCGCATTCATGAGCCCTCCACCCCCCACTGGGACCCTTTTCTTCACAATTTTCCCCTCTTTACAAAATGTCCTGCGTAGTCACCTTTTTTTTTTTTTTTCAAAAGCCCCGAGACCCCTTCTCTCTCTCACTCAGGCGAGGGATGACACGTCAGTGGCTGGGAGAAAAGTGGGGACACCGATGAGGGGCTCTGTGAAAAGGTGACAATAAAACAATTTTTAAAATTTTTGTTAAGCAGTGTCACCCCCATAAATTCAATTTAAAAAGTAATCATGAAAAATAAGTGAGGACAGCAGAATGCCGTGGCCAGGCCCCCAATACAAATTGTGCCGCCAGCAGCCCACGGCTCTGGGGGAAAGGGGAGGGGGTGGGGCCGCTGCCTCTCCCCCCTCAAGGACTGGAACTTCTCCTTTAAGAAAGTGTTTTCTAATGGCTGGCTGGTCCTTCGCCCCCATAGAGAAGTTAGAAGAATAAAAGCTAATTAAGTGCTAATGAGCCTTCCAATGTGGTCCTGAGCCCTGCAGCCCTGTGAAGTTCAAGCGTAAAGCACCATCTCAGTGATGCCCAGAGCATAAGAGAAGCATCTGGAAGGAGAATGCGGAACAGTCCCAGGATCATAAGTGCTAATGAGCCTTCCAATGTGGTCCTGAGCCCTGTGAAGTTCAAGCGTAATGATGCCCAGAGCGTAAGAGAAGCATCTGGAAGGAGAACTCGGAACAGTCCCAGGATCGCGGGCTCCGGGGGGAGGGGAGGGCCTGAGCCCCCCACACCTCGGTCCCCTCTTCAGGGAGTTGATGGTACTTCACTGAAGCAAAATCATGGGGCCCAGCACGGAACCGCACCCTGATCCTGAGCTCAGAGGCCCGGCTTCCCGCTGAGGCCTGACCGCCCAGTGCCAACGGGCAAGGCGTGCCTCTCTTCACTCCAGGGCTGTGTGACCCTGGGCGAGTTAATCAACTTCTCTGAGCCTCCTGTGTTCTCAGGGGTGACCTGGGGGAAATGATAGTGCCCGGCTGACAGGAGGGTCACCGAGGGGGCGATGTGGATGGAGGTTTGCCAAGACCTTTCCTATCGAGGCCCCTCTCGTTCTGGAGACGCTGTGGCAGGGAGAAGGCCATGAGTTTCCCATGAGTCTGATGAGTCCTTGCTAGTCCCTCCTCCGGGGACGACCGGGAGGACTGAGGGGTTTCAGGGAAGATCCTAGAACCCACCCACGCCAGCTGGATGTCATTAGGGACCCGGTTTTAACAGGTCCGGGCCATTCCCTGCTGAGTCCCCATCCTCTCCACCCCTCACCTCTGCCCCAGCTGGATGGCCTGGAGTGCCCACAGGAGACCCACCTGAGGGGAACCCTGGCCTGGGTGGGTGGCCTGAGTTGTGCAAACGGCCACCAAATGGAGGCCATGCAACGCTCACTGGTACCCACGGCCCGTGCTCTATCCACTGAGCCACCTGGCTGGGGCTCCCTCTTCTAGTTGAAAAGATAAGTGTGTCTACGCTCCGGCCCCTCTGAGCACCCCTGGCTCCAGAGACTCTGAGAAGGTGTCACCCATCACCCAGAGCGACCAGGTTACAGGAAGTCAAGTCCACTTATTCGAAACCACAGCCCAGGAACCCCGTTGCTGACCCCCATCTCCCCGAGAAGCCCTCTAACCCGGGCGCCGCTTCGGGCAATGGACGGCCTGTCGCTGCCCAGTGCCACCCCTGCCCCATGCGCGCTCCACCGCCAGGTGCCTGCTGGCAGCCGGAGAGATAACGCAGGTGGCTTTAGGCCTGGTCTCCGTGGGAGGTTCTGTGGCCCCAAGTTCCTGTCCGTGAGGACTGCGGCCCCCCCCAAATCCTCAGGTCCCAAGTCCGCGCGCTCAGAGCCCGACCCCAGAGAAAGAAAGGCTGCTGCACGGAGGTGGCAGTGCCCAGGCGAGGGACCCGTGGAAACTGACCTCAGACGGCCATTTGGGGCGAAGGGTCCCCTGAGAACCACTCCCTCTAACCCCCAGGACAGCCCGCCGGCCTGCATGGCCTGCATTGGGGCTGGCCCTCCGCCCAGCGGCCCGGCAGTGTCCCGCGCTGCCTTCTGCCTGACAGATGCCTGGGGATGGATGGAGACTGCGATTGGCCTCTTGGGGGGTCTCCTGGTTCCCAGTAAGACCCGGGGCGTCTGCAGGGCGTTGCGGACAGTCGGACAGTCGGACAGTCGGACAGGCGATGGGGTTATTTACAAGCTGGAGGGTGAGCGCTCTGGGCCGGCCTGGCCGTGTGGCGGGGTTGCCTTCCCCTGCGCGGCCTGATTTCCACCGCCTGTCGTCCCCCCCATTCCTGGGGTACCCTGTTTCCCGAGGGGGTGTCTGCTTTGTCAAACGTGAAAAGAAGTTTCGTTTCATAAACCAAAGGGAGGCAAATGCTGCTGCCGGGACCCCGGTGAGCTCGGGGCAGGAGACGCGCACACAGCGCGGGGCACGTCGTAAAGCCACGAACCCAGGAACCG